GAGTGAAGTGAACCTCCTCAGACTCAGGGAGGAGGCTGCTGAGCGCGATGCAGGCCGCAGCGTCACGTGACTTCCAAGCCGTCTGGTCAGCTCGCTGAGTGGCAAAGCGGGCTCTAGCGGCGTCATCAGGGGCAGGTCCTAAAGGCGTAGGGTCGGAGGGCGCAGGTAGGGCACCAGTAGCGTGCGCCCAGAGGGACTCGCCTGCCTGGACCTGACTCTCTAACAGACGGCGAGCACGAAGAAGCCAGACGGAAAAATCAAGAGGTCTACCGTCAGCGTCGAAACGAAGGACGCGAGGGGTCGCCATAGTGTGCAAACGGAATTGGCAGGGAAAGCAGGGTGCAGCGGCAAGGGGGAACGGGCAGGAAGAGCGGGCAAGAGCGGGCGGGTAGGTAAGGTGTGGTGGGCGTCTAGGGTAGGAGCGCGCGGGCTAGGGCAGGAGCGCGCGGGCGGGTAGGGCAAAGGCGCCGGGCCAGGGCGACGGGCTGGGGCGCGGGCCTGGGCGACGGGCTAGGACGCGAGCAGGGGGAACCGCGGGTCGACAGGCAGCGGGGGGAAGCGCGGGTCGACGGGCAGCGGGGGGAAGCGCGGGTCGACGGGCAGCGGGGGGAAGCGCGGGTCGACGGGCAGCGGGGGGAAGCGCGGGTCGACGGGCAGCGGGGGGAAGCGCGGGTCGACGGGCAGCGGGGGGAAGCGCGGGTCGACGGGCAGCGGGGGGAAGCGCGGGTCGACGGGCAGCGGGGGGAAGCGCGGGTCGACGGGCAGCGGGGGGAAGCGCGGGTCGACGGGCAGCGGGGGGAAGCGCGGGTCGACGGGCAGCGGGGGGAAGCGCGGGTCGACGGGCAGCGGGGGGAAGCGCGGGTCGACGGGCAACGGGGGGAAGAGCGGGTCGACAGGCAGCGGGGGGAAGCGCGGTTCGACGGCAGCGGGGGGGAAAGCGCAGCGCGACCTGCAGCGGTACGCTAGATCGGGCTACGCTAGATCGGGAGGAAGAACGAGCGGTAACGAACGAACGGGACTAGATCGGGCCGGCACTAGGCTCGGGCAAGACGGGCGAAACGAGAGCTAGGATCAGGCTCGGGTGGTACGATCGGAGAACGGAGAAACGGGATCCCACAGGATCCTAACCGCTCTGATACCATGTCAAAATGAGGAATGGATGGTGCATTGATGTTGGTTGGGGTACATATAGCTAACCCTAAGTTTTGTACCCCCTAAGACAAACCTCACTATAGGCTACAACATTTGACAAGGTGACCATCATGCCAGTGTGTACTTCCTCACCAATGCTTCTGTATGAGGTGGGTTGCTGCTACAAACAGAATGAGAAGTTTTGCACCGTATTACGATGCCCTAATGCAGGCCCTCTGAATGTGGCACTCATAAACGTTGTTGGGGTAATTGTATTGTCTAGATAACTACACAAGATACGGTACAAACTCATGGAAGCAAGCCATTTGGTCTAGCTTGTGTCCAGCTAAAGGACAACTCGAAGCATTGGAGCATTGGTTGCTACATAAGCTGCAGGGCTGCATTGCCTACGTCTATTTGAAGCATGGAGGTATTGCTATACAGACTGCGGGGCTGCACGTACCTTTCGCTATCAAGCAACTGCTTGCACCGCTTCACACCCAGATACAGCAGCAGCTTCAGCTCACCCAAGTCCCTTGGTAGCGCCCTGAGCCGCCAACACCCATCCAAGACAAGCCTCCTGAGACTCCCCAGCCGCACAAAGTGGAGAGGAAGCGAGACAATGTTGGTGCATGCGAGATTGAGCTCATTCAGGCAAGCGAGGCGAGTGAGAGAAGCAGGTAACTGCTCCAACGCCGTGCAGTCTGACAGGTTCAGTCTGCGCAGCCTGGTCAAGGCACCAATGCCTTCCGGGACACAAGCTAGCTTGCATGCATGAACCTCCAGCGATGTCAGATGCTGAAGCCCCGTGATACTATCTGGCAGCTCCGACAGTCCCTCAGCACCGTGTATCTGCAGTGCTCTCAGCTGGTGTATAGTGCGGAAGATACTATCTGGAAGGCTGGCAATTTTCCCTGCATGATGGATCGCCAGGGAGTGCAGCTGGGGAAGCGACGCGAAGGGGAATGGAAGCTCAATTGCACCGCTGTCTAGTACCAGCTCCAACTGCTCCAAACGCAACAGGCTTTCACTGAATTCACTGAATTTGCAAAATTCCGGTGCACAGCGGACATTAACCCGAGACAGCTTCAGTTTTTTCAGATTTGTAGGCCTTGGGATCGTCAGCAGAGGGACGGTGCTGTTGCTGCTGGCCAGGCTAAGCTTCTCAAGACCGGGCGGCAGAAATCGGACCGATTCAGTCAGCAGCTTGCACCGAGTGATCTCGAGGTGTTTCAGCATTGGGAGCCTGTCGAATCTGATTGGAGCCAAGGAGAGCCGTTGACAGGAATGAACGGTCAGGATTTGAAGACACCTGAGGGCTGAAATGGACGTAGGGAGCTCGTGCAACTGGTCGCATGAATCAATATGAAGCTGCTGCAAGCTACTGAGATTCCATATGCCTTCCGGAAAAGACTCGATCTTGCAGCGGTTGAGCTCAAGCCGGGTTAGAGACGTCAGCTGGGTGAACGAGCGTGGAAGCGGCTGTTTCTGAGAGTTTCGGTCCAATAGAAGAGTATGCAGTTGCGAGAATGCGTGGATGTGTTCTGGGAGATTCACTGGTGGGAGATTCACCACAGGAAGATTCACCAGTGGGAGATTTACCAGTGGGAGATTCAACAGTGGGAGGTTTACCAGTGGGAGATTCACCAGTGGGAGATTCGCCACTCGGAGATTCGCCACTGGGAAATTCGCCACCGGGAAATTCGCCACTGGGAGATTCGCCACTGGGAGATTCGCCTGCTGCCGCAGCCTCACGAGACAGAGAGTGGTGAGGGATGTGAGGCTGCAGAACCCTGCTGGCAGCTGCTGAAAATTCCCACAGTCGTGTATAAGTAGGGTTTCTAGGGCGGTGAGTAGGGAGGTGCTTGAGTGAGCGATTATCTAGAACCAATCTTTTCAGGGCAGAAAGCTGCCCAAAATCCTCGGGCAGGCTGGAGAACCGGCAGCAAGCGGAAATGGTCACGCTAGTCAAGGAGCTTGAAAAAATCGGCTGGTCAGGTGGGTCCAATATGGAGGTTTCCAGAAAGGTGGGATGGCAGAATGAGTCAGGAAGATTCTTAAGTGCCAGATTTTCCAGCACCAAGGTCTTAAGCGCCGCCAGGTGGCAAAAGTTCTCGGGCAGCCTCGAGAATCTGCAACAGGAAGAAATCGTCAGGCTCTCCAAATCGCTGAGAGAAGTGATCTTGCCGGGCAGATGTGAAAACATTTTGCAACCGCGAATGCTCAGCTCACGAAGGCACGGGAGAAGCTCCGGGATGCTTCGAGGAAGCTGCTGGAGCTCGTTGGAGTTGGAAATCAGCAGGCGCTCGAGACGGCTACACGGCAATTCCCACGGAACCGTTAGCCTAGATTCCAGTTTCAACAGCGGCAGTTGCGGGAGGATGCGAGGAGCAGCGTGACGATTGCCGTGGGGAGAAATCTCGGTTTCATCTGCGATCGAAAGGCAGGCGATGCTCGGAAGGCGAAGGAGACCCGCCAGTTGCCTCGAGTTGAGGTGACACGACGCGATACGGAGAGCTGTCAGAGACGAAAGGCTCGGGAGATGCGGCGATTCGAGCATTAAGGGAGTCGTTAAAGTGAGGGAGTCTAAGTGAGCGAGTTGGAAGAAGGAAGGCGGAAGCGCCATGTCTTCTCGGAGGCAAAAGAGAGAAAGCTGCTTCATCTGCGTGCAATGCTGAAAGAACCGATCTAGACCGGATTCGGTTACTGGGTGGTTGTCCTTGCTTATTTCGTAGTTTGCGAACGTGATTCTCCTTCCCACGTGGAGAGACGTTAGTTCAGGGCACGACGACGCGAGGCGATCGAGGAAATCGTCGCTCAGAGTCGCCACGCTGCCGTCGCACAGGTGCAGACGGGTCAGATTCGGGAAGCAAGCGACAGCGGCTGTGATGGCTTGGAGAGGCACGTCGAGGTCTCGTCTGAGGGAAAGCGTCGAGCCGCCGGAGAGCTTCGCGAGTCGCCGCCAACGACGGCAAACCGACGCGATGGTGAGGTGGTAACCCGCGCAGGTTGCGGAGAGAGGAGGATGTGTCGGTGTGAAGGTTGGCTGGTGCGCAGGCGAACTAAACCCAGGTACGCGGTGCGGATGGAGGTATCTAGGCTTGGGGTCTAAGGAGGTCCAGAGAGCGTCGGTTTCGACCTCTTGGCCGCCGGGAATCGCGGAGTGCCACAGGATTCGGATGAGAATATCGTCGGAGAGGCGGTGGATGTGCGCGCGCGGCTCCATGGCGGCTCGAGCTTCACAAGCAAGCGCCCTAGAGGATAACGAAGAATGGCATGAACCTTGATCAAGATTAGCATGGAAGTGATTGCATATGATGTGTATCCTGTGGCGCTTGCCCCAGTCGCCCCAGCAGCGCACGACGGAAGGTAGTAGCCCGGGCTCGAATCACGCGGCTTATGTTTGGTTTCCCAGCGGTCGAAAGCGGTGCTGAAGAAAATACAGTTAAAGAGTCTTCTGTAGTACTTCCCTAACATAAGATGTTGATTGGCATCACACAGCTCACTTCACTTTCTTCCACCGCTGTGTCTCAGCTGAGATAAAATTCATGATTTAATAAGGTGATCGTTGGTCTAAGAAATTCTTTTAGAATACTTCAGAAATTTTGAAGCATTTTTACACTGCCTCTTGCACCAAGTGCACCACTACATTCCTGGGGGCACACTGAGAAGAATTACCCTGCAGCAGCAGCAGCAGAAGCAGCTGCAGCTGGCTGTACAGCCTCGGACTGTTTTCAACACTGGCACCAGCAGCAGCAGATGTCACAGCACCAGCAGATGTGACAGCACCAGCGACAGCAGCAGCAATCTCACTCTCACTCGCCTCCCCAGCATCCACCAGCCGCCATGCAACGGCGTCCAGAGCACTCTCATGCTGCCGGAGAGTGCAGCACGCAAGGGCCATTGCCTCCTGCACCACCTGCACCTGCAGCACTGCACTCCCCGATGGCACACTGAGAGGAATCACCCTGCAGCAGCTGGATGTATAGCCTCACACTGGCACCAGCACCACTAGCACCACCAGCACCAGCGACAGCAGCAGCAATCTCACTCTCACTCGCCTCCCCAGCATCCACGAGTCGCCATGCAATGGCGTGCAGAGCACTCTCATGCTGCCGGAGAGTGCAGGAGGCGAGGGTCATTGCCTTCTGAACCAACTGCAGCACCCTCTGCTCGTGTGTCCCCACTCCTCGCATCTCCAGGCCCCTCCCAACCCTTCTCACTGCTGCCGCTCCTGCTCCTGCCGCTTCTCCTGCTCTTACAGCTGCTCCTGCTTCTGCTTCTCCTTCTCCTTCCTCCATATCCCTCGTCAGACTCTCCTGCCCACCTCTCATCTCAAGGCACTCAGGCCATGCTCTAAGGTCCTCCGGGCCGGCACCAAAGAGGTCAGGGAAGGCAGCAGAGGAGGGCACGCGCCAGCCTGTGATGCGCGGCGTGTGGATGGCACTATTCAGCAGCAGCTGCTGCTGTTGTTGCTGCTGGAACTCAGCTTCCCTTCCCTCTTGTGGTGCGCTTGCCTGTGGTGCTTCCCCCTGTGGTGCGGTGGGTGCAGCACCCCACACGTCTGGAGCGCGGCAGATGAGAGCAAAGGCCGTGGCGAGCGCAGCAGCTGATGGGGTGGGCACGGACGGGAGAGCAACAAAGGGAGAGAGGAACAAGAAAGACATGTAGGGTGCTCCACTGATGCCTCCTCATGTGCCGCATGAAGAGGGGAGAAGGAAAAGGAAAGAGGAGCAAGAACGACAGGTAGGGATGCTCCTATGGTGTCTCCTCATGTGCCGCCTCCCCCTGTGCTGCAGTGGGTGCAGCACCCCACACGTCTGGAGCACGGCAGATGAGAGCAAAGGCCATGGCAAGCGCAGCAGCTGATAGCACAGGGCACAGGGGGGGAGCGGGAGGGAAAACGAGTGCAGATGAAGGTGAGGAGCAGACGTGAAGAAGGGGGAAAGGGAGAGGGAGGAACGGAAAGAGGAACAAGAAAGAGAGGTGGGTGCTTACGGAATAAACTTTGCAAAAACGTGGGAGAAAAGTGGGGGAAAAAAAAGGAAATGGGGGGGGGGGCAAAGGAGAGTTGGGGGGAGAGGCCAGGCAACGCAAGAGAGAGATGGAACAAGAGAGGCAATGCAACAAGAGAGGACCCCCCCCCCCCCCCTCACACTATCCTCATACACATACAAGAAAAGCACATACCATTTGCGAGGTCATCTGAGAATGAATACCAGCCGTCGGATCGAGTGAAGTAGTCAACCCGGCCAAACATCAGCTCCTCTGCAGCCTGGCAGGGATGGGGACAAGAAGCATGGGTAACGCCGGAAGAGCAGAGGCAAGGCTTTTGAGACGTCTCAGAAGCAGTTAACCCGGCCAAACATCAGCTCCTCTGCTGCCTGGCAGGGATGGGGGCGGGAAGCATGGGTAAGGCCCAAGCGAAGAGGCAGAATCTGATGGGAAAGATCAGGTTCCTAAACCCATTGCATCATATGATGGGCACATGGTAGGAGTATACATTGCACCGCCATGTGCCCATATGCATATGCATGTCCACATGCCCATTTGCTTGTGCGTCTATGAGTGCATGTCCACGTGCAAGCGTATATGCACGTGCATATGCACGCGCATGTGTGTGTGTGTGCATGTGTACAGTACACCCCTCACCATGCCAGCCAGCCACACAGCCATTGCGTGAACCACCACTTGTCGCATGCCGGCATGCGTGCGTGTGTACATGTCGCTGTGTGCATGCATATATGCACGCACATGCATGAATGTATGTAAGTGTTACCTGTGTTCATGCATGGCACCTGCAATGAGCCCTCACCATGCCAGCCAGCCACACAGCCATGGCGTGAACCACCACTTGTCGCAACGGCATTGGCTCAATCTCTCCTCGCCACACAACGTCTGTTCCTCCCGCGTACTTGATTGGCCGATACGGCCCTCCCGGTGCTGCTGATTGGCCCTCGTCCTCCAGATACACTCCTTCCACCTGATTGGTTGATACGAGATGGGATAGGATGGGATGGGATGGGATGGGATGGGATGGAATGGGATGGGATGGGATGGGATGGGATGGGATGGGATGGGATGGGATGGGATGGGATGGGATGGGATGGGATGGGATGGGATGGGATGGGATGGGATGGGATGGGATGGGATGGGATGGGCAAGCCGAGCAATGCCCCCCTTACTCGTTCACTCCCACGCTCACTCACCCGAGCGAGGGGACTCAGCGCCCCCACCAGCGCGTGTCCAGCCTCATGGTACGCTGCAAAGCAGCGATCGCTGTCCATGCGCGGAGGAGCAGCTCTGGGGAGACAACTGGTGCCCTCAGCAGCCTCAAGCCGCCGCAGTTCCTGCTGTTGCTGCCACTTTAAACTGCTGCTGTTGCTGCTGCTGCTGTTGCTGGCGCTGTTGATTTCGAGCGTGAGTAGAGGGGGGCGAGTGCACGTCCAGCAGCAGCCTGCCGTGGCAGTGGTCCATGGCTCTTAGTATTGAACATGCTGCTAGACCTTTGAACTGCAGGGCGGTTGAGGGCGGTTAAGGGGGGTAAGGAAGGTGAGGGGAGGGGAGTGAGGGGGGCGAGTGCTCGTCCAGCAGTAGCCTGCCGTGACAGTGGTCCACGGCTCGAAGCACAGAGCGCGCTGCTGCTTCTTTGAACTGCACAGTGGGTGCAGGCAGAGAAGCAAGATGATAGGTGAGAAAGACAGAGGGGAGTAGAGGGGGGTGATTGCACGTCCAGCAGCAGCCTGCCATGACAGTGGTCCATGGCTTGGAGCACGGCCTGGGCTGCTTGACCCTTTGAATTGCAGTGCGGTTGAAGGGCGAATTTAAGAAGGGAGCAATAGGAGGGGGTCTGAGGCGTGTGAAGAAGCGAGTGCACGTCCAGCAGAAGCCTGCCACGGAAGTGATCCATGGCTACTACTATTGACCATGCTGCTAGACCTTTGAACTGCGAGGGGGAGGTGAAGGGGGTGCCGGGAGGGAGGGATACAAGAGGATGACTGCACACACGAGTTGACTTTTAGGTCGACTAAAAAGTCAACTTGAACTGCAGGGGGGGTGAGGGGGGTGCAGGGAGGGAGGGATACAAGAGGATGACTGCACACACGAGTTGACTGTTAGGTCGACTCAAAAGTCAACTTGAACTGCAAGGGGGGTGAGGGGGGTGCAGGGAGGGAGGGATATAAGAGGATGACTGCACACACGAGTTGACTGTTAGGTTGACTCAAAAGTCAACTTGAACTGCAGGGGGGGTGAGGGGGGTGCAGGGAGGGAGGGATACAAGAGGATGACTGCACAACCGTCCAGCAGCAGCCTCCCGTGGCAGTGGTCCATGGCTCTTAGAATTGAACATGCTGCTGATCCTTTAAACTGCAGGGCGGTTGAGGGCGGTAGAGGGGGTTGAGGAAGGTGAAGGGAGTGAATGAGTGACGGAGGTGCCTGCACGTCCAGCAGCAGCCTCCCGTGGCAGTGGTCCATGGCTCGAAGCAGGGATCGGGCTGCTTCCCCTTTGAACTGCAGCGCGGTTAAGAGCGGTGAGGAGGAAGGTGACACAGGAGTGCGGGGAATGCTGGCTGGGAATTACACAATGCAGCATGCATGCATGCAGTGCTAAACCCCATGCAGGAATACACGTACATGCAATGCTATGCTAGGTGTATATCGTATTTACCTACTACATATAGTGCATGCATAAGAAGTCTACAGTGTAACAGCAGCAGCAGGTGAAGTGAATTGTGAACGTGCTGCATGCTCACCACGTACACATGCTGCTGCTGGGTCTCGTCGTGAGCCATCACACGCACCCAGAGGGGCCTCTGTAGCACAGAACTTCAGAAGCACAGAAGCTCTCCTCTGTTGCAGGTTATTTTCGAAAATTCTGCACAGAACCTGCAGCACAGAAGCTCTCCTCTCCACCTGCATGCATCCGGCACATGTGCTGTTGACACATGCAACCTCCCCCTATTCCACACACCACGTACCAGGTACACATGCTGTTGCTGGTTCTCATCGTGAGCCATCACACGCACCCAGGGAGGCCTCTGTAGCATGATCGCATAGGGGGAAGGCAAATGAAGGGAGGGGAAAGAAGATGGAGGAAGAGGGGGATGGGAAGGAGCGGGAGAGAGGGGTAGTTTACCATCCTGAGTTGACTTCTGACTCGACTCGGCTTTTGATCCCCATCACGGCCTCATGACACGCACTGGAAAGACTAGGATAAATTCCTCACGACTCATAACACAAGGGATGCGTGCAAGGGACGAGGATAAATTCCCAGTAAAGAGCTAACATGGGATAGATGGAGGCAGTGGGGAAGGAGAGTGGGGGAGTGGGTCGGAATGGGAGCAGGGGGGGGCGGAGTGGCTACCATGAATCAGGACCACATAGTACCTACCATGACAGGCACGGCAATCCCTGGCAGGCAGGGGCATGTCTCCAGCTGCTCCACTCGTTCCCTCGGCATCTGAACCACCCGTGCATTGCACAGCACGTGCACGCGCCATGGCATGACATGCAGTGCAGAGCAGACACACACGTAGTAGTACCCACCATGACAGGCACAGCTATCCCTGGCAGGCAGAGGCATGTCTCGAGCTGCTCCGCTCGCTGCCTGGGCATCTGCACCACACCACACATGCTTCCTAGTGCACACAACACATTTTGACACATGCCATCAACGCGCCCACCCACTAGCAGCTGCACTGCAGAGCGCACACAGTACTCACCATGACAGGCACGGCGATCCCCCCAAGGCAGGGGCACGACTCCAGCTGCTCCACTCGCTCCCTCGACATCTGCACCACCCGTGCGTTGCGACATACACACAACAAAGCGCCCACCCACTAGCAGCACGGCGCACACCTAATACCTACCATGACAGGTACGGCTATCCCCGGCAGGCAGGGGCATGTCTCCAGGTGCTCCACTCGCTCCCTCGGCATCTGCACCACCCGTGCGTTGCACAGCACGTGCACGCGCGGCCCTTGAGTAGGACGAGGAATGCCGTCCAGCTCCTTGCTCCGCCTGCTGCTGCTGCTGCTGCTGCTGCTGCTGCTGCTGCTGCTGCTGCTGCTGTCACCCCCATTTCCCCCACCTCTTCTGCTACGCACTGACTTACCAGCAGGAACAGCCCGCCTTCCCCCCATCAACCCCCCCAGCGCTCCCCCCAGCGCTCCTCCCAGTCCTCCCCCCAGTCCCCCAACCCCGTCCCCCACCTTCCCCCCCATCATCTTCCCCACCGCCCCCCAACCGCTTCCCCCACCACTCCCCCCACAGCCCCAGCAGAGGCCGGAAGCTTCTCAGCAGGTTCCTCAGTGGTGAGGATGACGTCATGCAGGGCCCCCATCTGGGGAGCCGCCACTGCTGTGACGCTGCTGCCAGTGCCGCCCTTGAGTTTGCCGCCCTTGAGTTTGCCGTCCGTGAGTTTGCCGTCCGTGAGTTTGCCGTCCGTGAGTTTGCCGTCCGTGAGTTTGCTGAGTTTGCCGGCCATTTCCGCCACTGCTGTGACGCTGCTGCCAGTACGGGCCGTGAGTTTGCCGTCTATGATGCTGCCAGTGCTGTCAGTGAGTTTGCCAGCCATTTCCGCCACTAGATCCAGACTCACGCCGCCCAGAAGCTTCTCTGTGACTGGCGAGCAGTCCCGAACGCGGTGAATAAGCCGAATCAGTGGATACTGCACAAAATCGTATCTCTTTTTGGCAGCATCACTCCCATTATCCACATTCCTCCCATTGCTCCCATCATTCCCACCTGCCCCCTCTGCCCCTCTGTGTTTCCGCTGCAGCCTCAGCTTCAGCGCCTGCTGCCTCTCTGCACCGCTCAGGTTGTCGCCGTCTGATGTACCACCTGAAGTTTCACCTGAGGAGGCACCTGAAGGGCCACCTGATCCTGGAGCAGGCGTGTGGAACGCCAGTGGCATCTGGGGCAGAGGGGAGCAGGTGGGATCTAGAGGAGGGGCGGGGATTGGGGAGAGCAGAGGGAATAGGGAGAAACAGGGAGGGTTGAGGGGAGCAGAGGGGAATAGAAGAACGGAAGAGGAGAGCAGGAAAGAATTGACGAGAGAAGGGAAAGAATTGATTGAAGGGAGATGGGGAGGAAATCCGAGGGAAACTAGTTTGGCACTTGCGTGGGACAGACAGAATGCGTTTCCACCGAATGCCTCCTTACCAGGTGCCGCACTATAAGCCAAAAGTCCTCGCAGTGCTGCACTGTAGCGAATTCGTGCTTCCGCCCATCCGGAAGCTCCTCAACCACCCTCCGCGCCAACCCTAATCAGCCATCCGTCTTTCCCCCTCCCCCCCCCCTTCCCACCCCGCCTCTTTCCGCCCCTGATTGCTCTCCGCCCCCTGTAGCAGCCACCTGCCATTCTCCCCGGCGACAGCGACGGCGACGGCTGCGACGCTGTGGCTGCGACTTATCTAGTAATCGCAGACAATGCGATCTCCATCCGAGAAACGACGTGGAACGTCCGCTCTCCGCGTTCAGTGCCGATAGCCAGGGCGGCGTCGCTTCTTGGGTGCATGAGCAGCGGCATGTGCGTTGCGGCTCGAAGGATCGTAAGGAACTTTGAGACGTCTCAAGACGTGATTGTGACGGCGAGAGTGAGTGTAACGCCACGAATGCTTGTAGCGTTGTCGAATGCATCGAAAGGCGCTGCGATTCTATGTTGGCGGGTTTTTATAACGGGGTCCACAGCCAGGAGTGCTTGAGGTGATTACTGTCGGGCCACCGAAGAGAGGAAAGCGCAGATTCTGCTATGGATGAGGTGATAGGTATGGACAGTGATATCTCTGGTGCAAGATACGGTCACCTGACACAGGGAAAAACCAGCAACGAGAACGGACAGAACACGGTTATGAACCCCATTTGGCAGTAACAGGTACAATCAGACATTGTCGAAAGTGCCACGTTATCGTCTCGCGTTTGCCAAGCAGGCGCTAAGAATTTCCGTGGAAATTTCGCGCGGCTCGGGCAAAGCGATCAGAAGCAACCCGACCCGATCCGACCCGATCAGATCAGCCACGATCAAAGTCGATTGGGCCCACGTCCTAAGCATGTCGACCGGGACAGAAATGTAGACTACAATCGCCTGCTGGAAGCGAAGCAATATTGTAAAGCGTATGCTTCTGGCTTTTGTCACATCCAACCACTGAGGAGGAGTCCGACAGATGTCAAGCACCCAGATGGCGCTTCCGCCAACCTGAAGAATCTGGTTGGCATGGCGCTTTGGGTTGGGACCACAGGCCATGAGGTGGGGGCACCTTGAAAGGACAAAAAGCTTCCGTGGCATGGCACCATCAGATTTTACGCGGTTGACCAACCTGGCAAGCGACCATTGGCTCACACCCGAGCACTAGACCTCCTCACCTAGCGCTGAAGCCGAAGGCTGTGGCCCAACAGTGCAAGTGATCGCGTGGTTACGTCAGCGTCCTCTTGCCGAGATGGCGGAGCCGAGGACATCCTGGTGTACATTGTCACACCGTGCTTGAAAATGGTTGATTACGGTGTGAAGTAGACATGTCAACCAGCCACTGCACCGTTGGAGCTCGTCCCCGAACATTGCTGCCTTCTGCAATTCGCGGCAACATCAAGAAATCTGTAGTCTTTCAAGCCTCGTTTCCGAATCACCTCGGTTTTGTCGGGTGCGTCACGGTCGTGAGGAGGAAAGAGCAAGAACCGCTTTTTACCGTGTGAGAACTTGCTGAATCGTACTGAACGATAACGGGAGGAGCACACCACCGAACACAACAGCCTGACAATGCCACGCCCTCCATATTTTTCTTCAGATTCTTCAAATGATGTACCTTCCAGTCTCGTTAATAACTTCATTTTCAGGATTCTATGAGCTTTTCTGCTTGCATTGTTGCATCCTCGCTCGGTCCCCTTCGCCCTCTACCCCTCTCCTTGGCTCTCGGTTGTCGCCATGAAGGCATTCAAAAAGCCAGCGTTCTTACAGCGGTCATTGTCAAAAGGAAGCTATCTCGACGGGAAGAAGATCAAGAAACTGCTCAACGACGAGGATGAGTTCAGAACCTTTCTGAACAAATACTTCGATCTTCTGGATGACGACAAGAGCGGGAAGCTCTCCCGCGCGGAGCTCAAACCCGCATTAGTGCGATTCGGGACGCTCCTAGGACTACCGCCTGCGGGGACGACGGCGGAAGGAGACGCATTAGTGGATCGACTGTTCACGACGCTAATGGCGGATAACCTGAGGGAGGAAGTCGACCGAGAATCGTTCATCACGATTTCCAAAGAGTTCTTAAAATCCGTTTCTCAGGAGCTCGAAAGTAAGCACTAACGTTTTCTGCTTTCCATTGAGCCAAGACGAATGTCATTCATCGCCATTTTCAGAGTGCTTCTGAGATTTTCTTCCGAGGCGCTTGAGTGTGAGACAGAGCGAATGTGAGTCAGTTCGAATGTGAGGTAAAGCGAATGTGAATTGAGCGTTTGTTGACTTTCAGCACCAAGACCGAATTAAATGTTCTCGTATTTTCCAGAGCCACAATCCACGACGAGCATACGTTCACGTGACGTATGGTGACATGGCGCGTGCCGTGCACTGGCGTACGGTGGCTGTCCCTATCGTGAATCGTGCATCAGGAACAACATTTCACTATCTCACTCTCACATTCCTCACAGAAGACGACCTGAAATACATTTTCTTCGTGGGAAGTTTTATGATCGGGATCTACGAAACGTGAGTATCTGCGAGCGACATCTTCAAAGTCTTCAACGAGGACTCGATTCCCCTCTTCCCCATTTTCCCAATTCACGATCAACCTCATCCCACTCCTTGTCTTCCATTCCCCCCCTCCCCTCCTCGACTCCTCCCTGCCAGCCAAACCCGTAGTGGTGGAGGTGTACGACGGGGGAGTGCTGAGGGAGCTAGCGGACAACCCTGAGCAGTTCAAGGAGATTGCGCGCGACATCTTCAAGGAGTTTGACGAGGGTTCTACTATCCACTTCCCCGTATTCACATCTCACGACCACCCCTCCAACCTCTACGTTCCTTCCCGTTTCCTTCCTCCCCTCCTCGTCTCCTCCCCACCAGCCAAGCCAGTAGTGGTGGAGGTGTACGATGGAGGTGTGCTGCGAGAGCTGGCGGACAACCCGGAGCAGTTCAAGGAGATCGCGCGCGACATCTTCAAGGAGTTTGACGAGGACGGCAGCGGCACGCTCTCTCGCCTCGAGCTCAAGCCCGCCTTCGTCTCCCTCGGCCTCGTTCCGCCCTCAGGTGAGTCAGGAAGACCTTTTCTTGAGTCGTCTCAAGGTCGACCCTAGAGAGTCACCCTCACAACCAGGCCGCCCTCAGGTGAGATAGAAAAAAAAAGGTATTTTTCTGTTGTTTTGTGAGCAATTGTTTAGCTTTCTCAACAACTGTTCGAGCTCAAGGCCGCATTTGTCTCCCTTAGCTGATCGAGCTCAAGGCCGCATTTGTCTCCCTTAGCTGATCGAGCTCAAACCGCCGCCCTCAGGTGAGCTAAATGAACGGGTGGAGAGAGAGAGATGGACCATCCCTTCAATCCCGAGGTCGACTGTAAACCGTGGGGAATGTGTGGTGGTCGTCGTCTCTCTCGTGATAATCGCCCTCCCTGTACTTCCCTCGCTCCCTTTCACAGCCCACATGGAAGTAGACGCGCTGCTGTCAAGACTGATAGGCAAGCACGGACGCAGCGACCTGCAGGCGAACGAGGGGAATCTCACATTCCCTCCCTCACCACCACCCTCCACTCTCATTCCCCTCCCTCTACCCCTCACATCACAGCCCACATGGAAGTAGACGCGTTGCTGTCCAGAGTGATCGGCAAGTACGGAGGCAGCGACCTGCAGGTGGACGAAGGGGAGTTCAAATCCCTCCCACCCCCGCCTTCGAACTCCCTTCCCCTCTCCCCTCCTCAACAGCCCACATGGAAGTGGACGCACTACTCTCCAGAGTAATTGGCAAGTACGGAGGCAGCGACCTGCAGGTGGACGAGGGCGAGTTTGAGCTGATGCTGAGGGACATGGTGAAGGAGCTCTCGGAGGAGCTGGCCTGCCGCCCCATCATCCTGTCAGCAGAAAAGAAGCCCGTCTTCACCGGCTCCTTTGTTCGCCAGGTGGGTGCGAGTCATTGAACAGGTCAGTAGGCGAGTGAGTAGGTGGGTGTGTGAGTGGGTAAGTGGGGCCACCGAATTTCAGACCACAAGGAGTTTGAGCTGATGCTGAGGGACATGGTGAAGGAGCTTTCAGAGGAGCTGGCGTGCCGCCCCATCATCCTCGCCGCTGAGAAGAAGCCCGTATTCACTGGCTCCTTCGTGCGCCAGGTGGGTTCCAATGGGGGGATGGGTGGTGTGGTGGGTGGGTGGCTGGGGACCGAAGAGACTGTGCGGAGAGACTGTGGGGACCCGGTCAGTGAAACAAGTAACTAGATACAAAGATAGCTGATCCGGCTGAGGATCAGGGTCAAGGAGACCTACTGCGGGGCTGACCCAGCCATTGCAACGAAAAAAAACGAAGGCAGACGAGGACAACCTGCCCCGCTTGCTCCATGTCCCCTGTCCTCCCGTTCTCCCCTGCCCTGGCCCCATCCTGATCAGC